TAAAAAATGCGAGTTTCAACCACTACTCCAATGTTAACAAGACATATCGTGTAGCCCCATGTAGCCAGGCGCAGCTAAGCGGAAAAAGGCCTTGACAGGGGTTAGGAGGCGGGCCTAGGAGGAAGTAAGCAAGGGAGTGGAGTTATGGGTAAGTAGGTTTGGTTATTTAAATGGGCAGCCATTTTAGGTAAGTCATTCTAACTTCCTACCTGGTTAAGTTTGTCCCACCCACCCTCCCTGTTTTGTTAGGTGTGGTTTTGTCCCGTTTTTTCACAGCGGCGGGATGGGGAGCTGAAGGAGAGGAAATAGGCTCCCCAGGATGAACGGAATGGAAAACAAACAAGTGGTGGTCATCGGTGGTTGATAGGTTTCGAGTCCTGTCGGTGGCTCAGAACCTGGTGGGGTAGGGGTATCCGGGTATACCCCTGCCGTGGTTAATGGATGGTTGCCACTTTACATCGATTGGAATAATGTTGATGTATGTTATATATATATGTTTATTTATATGGGGGTCATTGCCCTTTATATGTTAATGGAAGGAATAGGATGCGAGGGCGGAGTATGGGGGGCAATGACCCATGTTTACTTGTTAAGTTATTATTATTATTATTATTATTGTTATTATTATTGTTTGCTTAATAAAGCTGTGGACATATTTCCCCATATCCCTTAGTGTCCGTGCGTTATTGGGTTAGGTTATGGGGTTGTTGTCCTGGATTCCGACTGCCCAAAATGGCGACTATACACCTGTCATGTATAGTACCTGTTAAGCTAATCCAAATGTACACAGATGAGCTATACCTAGGCTTTTACACAAGCCATCAAAACTGCAAAATGTGATAACTACTGTCAATGCAAAAATAAAGAATTATAAAATAAAATAAAAAATGCGAGTTTAACCCTTTCAAAGCATGAGTATATTGTATTCTAATCAGGCTTACTGGCCATTAGGTATTTCAAGCTATGTATACAGTAATACTTTAGCTACGTAATAAGAAAGATAGAAGCAGAAAGCAGGACATGAGAATGACACCCTGTAACATTACATGTATAGCTCTGTATGTCTAGGGGAATATTCACTAAGCATTGCAAAGGTAAAACTATTGATTCTCCATCACCCCCAAAACAGCTAGAATACAACCATGTACCCCCTCAAGCCTGGATCTGAGCATATAACATATCCAAAAAGCGCTCAGATCCCACCAACACAGCCTAATCGCCACCCGGGTAAAGTTTTGACTGACAACACACAAGGAGCTTGCCCAAAATATTTCCAGGAGAAAGGTGGTGGCGGTTGGTTTCTTTCAGGAGTACGAAAACGTATAAAATACCGAACATATTCCATAGCTGTTATGTATAGAGATTGTTCACCTAATCCATGCAAACGATTTCACCGAACATAGTTACATAGCTGAAAAGAGACTTGTGTCCATCAAGTTCAGCCTTCCTCACATATGTTGTTGCTGTTGATCCAAAAGAAGGCAAAAAACCTAGTCTGAAGCGCTTCCACTTTTGCCACAAACTAGGAAAAAATTCCTTCTTGACCCCAAAATAGCAGTCAGATGTCTCCATGGATCAAGCAGCTATTACCCCACTAATTAGAAATTATATCCCTGTATGTTATGTTTTTGTAAGTATTTATCCAACTGCAGTTTAAACATCTGTATGGACTCTGATAAAACCACCTCTTCAGGTAGAGAATTCCATATCCTTATTGCTCTTACTGTAGAAAAAACATTTCTTTGCCTTAGATGAAATCTCCTTTCTTCCAGCCTAAATGTGTGACCTCGTGTCCTATGTATAGCCCTGTTTATGAATAGATTTCCAGATAAAGGTTTGTACTGGCCCCGAATATATTTGTATAAAGTTATCATATCCCCTCTCAGGCACCGTTTTTCCAAACTTTAATTTTTTTAACCTTTCTTCATAACTAAAATGTTCCATTCCTTTTATCAATTTTGTAGCTTGTCTCTGCACTTTTTCTAGTGCCATGATATCTTTCTTTAGAACAGGCACCCAAAATTGCACAATATAAAGAAATATATATAGGATCTCTCACACACTCGTAAATTTGTGACTATGATTCTAAGATCCACATACAGTGATATAAAAATTACAACTTAAAGTGATTATAGTGAAAAGAACAAATAAAGATAACTTGCCTTAGCAATATAGGAAATGCCCGAAGATTTCCTCCTATCTTCAATTCAGTAAGTATATGGTATAGGGCTATTCCAAGCTATGGGGATAAGACATACATGGCATAGTGCAATATTGTCTGTGGTAAAATGGGTATATGAGTAAGTGCCAAATGTTCACTCACACTTTAACATCCCAAGAAATGCCTTAAGAAGTGTACATGGTGTGTCTTCTTGGTTCAATATTTGATGAATATATATATCAAAGTAAATAATATCAGTCCAACGCGTTTCTTCCCTGTTAGGGACTTCCTCAGGGACAATCTTTAACAGCAGTGTTAAATACAAATGCATACAATCCTAGTTACAAACATCCCCTAATATATACCACCCCCAATTAGTCCCAATGGGTGTTCCACAGACGATTCCATTTGTCTTCAGCTGTCTGCAGCTCAAATTTGGTTACTTCCAGGTTTCGTGTATCCCATGCGGTCACGTGACCGACGTGATGACGTCATGCGTTCCAACTATGCGTTCCACCTTCGTTTCAGCTGTCCATCATGGTGGCAAATCGGAATGTTGAAAAAAGTCCCAGAAACACTGTTTCTAAATGGGAGTATGGGTGGGGGGTGTACAAAGGGGAGTGACAAGGCAGTTAAAGAGACATTGCTGGTCTACAGATCTTATGAATAAACTTTATTTATAAAAGCAAAAACAAACACACCAATAATCTATGTTTACATTTCTATGTCTGTGTGCATAGATGCCTGATTCCATACTTTATAAGGCAACATGCACACAGCATAATATAATCTGAATAAGTCAAAATAAAAACGATACCATAAATGTATCAAATATAATTTTGGAGATAAAAAAACTGTAAAAAAGCCATGGAACATGTATAAAAAAATATATATGTATATAATAGAACTGGTAGTTTTTCTACCTTCCAAAAAACTTGAAATTAAAATCAGACTAAGGCACATCTTGTGCCTCTAAAACAACCCCAATATTCAGAAAAAAAGGGGGGGGGGGGAGTATGCAGGATATAACTGTGTATTAGAGAGAGCATTCCCCTAATGATTCTATATTTGGAGAAAAAAGAGCGGAACTAATCCTTGACTTATTCATGTATATAACGGTATACACAATCTGGCAGACAGGAAGAGACAAAAGAAGGGGGAACCATTAATCTAGGAAACACCACAAATCTATATCTACATTTAATCCTCCTGGTTGGAGGGTTTTTAGTGTATTATTATTATTATTATTATTATTATTATTATTATTGCCATTTATATAGCGCCAACAGATTCCGTAGCGCTTTACAATATTATGAGAGGGGGAATGTAACAATAAATAAGACAATTACAAGAAAACTTACAGGAACAATAGGTTGAAGAGGACCCTGCACAAACGAGCTTACAGACTATTGGAGGTGGGGTATTAGAAACATTAGGACAGGAAATATCAAGTAGGAGTGAAGCAGAGCTGGAGGAGAGAGCAAAGCACTGTCCCATAGGAGAGAGCAGGAGACAGGTAGAAGCTTCATTTGGCATGGATTGCTCGTGGGACAAAATGAATTCCTTTTTTTGCATTGAGATTTTACATTTTTTTAAATTCTTTATTTTTCACAAAAAGAAGTGCATATATGTGACAATGTATAGGCTTACGCAGAAGCCACAGTACGTTTTCAGATGATTCAGGTATACAGAAGGGAAGAGTGATACGTTAAGACAAGTTGCATGCTTACGAACACCTCTGATCTTTTCAGCGGTCTATCTGTCGTCCTGAGGTTCGCTGAGACTGTATATCTTGGTTTGTTTATTAGGGCTTGCTGTGGGTTCATGTGTCACTTCAATCAGTGTAGTTTATATACAATTGATAACTAAAAGTACCATAGCGAACATTTGAAAATGATACATTAATAAAAACAGTATAAACAGTAATACAGTGAGTTGGTGTGTCTGTTTCCGCAGCCCGGATGAGGTTTGTCGTGTGCCCTTTTATCGTCAGCCCTGAGTGTTCGTTCGGTTCCCTTGTCCACCCTCAATATTCTCCTGGTATTGTTCCCACAGCTCCCATACTCTGCCAAATTTTTTGGTGGTGTGCCTGACCAGGGAGGTTAACCTGTCCATAAGGTAGTTGTCTTTTATTTTTGCTAAGACCAGTGTAATGGGGGGCATTTCCGGGCATAGCCATTTTTGTGCCAGTGCCCTGCGGGCCGCCAAGTAAGCCATGTTTAATAGTTGTTGCTCTGGGCGTGGAAGGCCTTCTGTTGGCCTGGAGAGGAGGCAGGCCCATGGGTCTAACCGTAATGGTCTCTGCATTATGTTCGAGCTTAGGTTGATGATTTGAACCCAATAGGCCTGTACTGAGGGGCATTTCCACCACATATGCACATAGATGCCTTGTTCCCTGCAACCGTGCCAGCATAGATCTGTGGAGGTGATCTGCATGCGGAATTGTTTTACTGGTGTGGTGTACCACATGAAAAGCGTTTTAAATGACTGCTCCTGGAGGGTGACACAAATGGATGATCGGGCTGTGGCCTCCCAAATGTCCTGCCAGTCGGAGCCCACTAGTGTCTCTCCCAGGTCTGCCGCCCACTGGTCCGTGTATCGGAGCTCCCCCCACTCTTTGGCCTCCCCACTAAGGTGAGAGTATAGTAATGAGATAAGTCCCTTGGGGTGTTTTTCCTGGTAGCAAATATTCTCAAACCAGGTAAGGGGGAGGGTGGCCATCTCTTTGACTTTTTTGGAGCTAGCAAAGTCTCATATCTGAAGGTAGCGGAAGAAGTCCCTGGTTGTTAGGGGGGATTGTTCCCTGAGATGATCGTATGTGACTACTTGGCCATTTTTGTATAGATGGTAATATCTCTGGAGACCTGCTCTCTCCAGGCTGCCAAAGTCACCTGCTGTCATTCCTGGTGGGAAGGATCGGTTCCTAAGTACGGGGGACATTGGGGAGGGGAACCTGCTTAACCCCTTAAGGACACATTACATGTGTGACTTGTCATGATTCCCTTTTATTCCAGAAGTTTGGTCCTTAAGAGGTTAAAGAGTATTTGGTTGCTAGTTAATCCCAGATTCTTAAGGAGTTCATTATTGCTGGGCAGGCTATCCTAGGGAGTGCTCTGTGTGTCTTGCGTAACCAGGGATAGAACTGTGGTAGGTCTTGCCCCATTAGTGAGGTTTCTAGCTCCACCCATCGTTGGGTGTCTGGTGCGGAGTGCCAATATGCTATTTGCGCTGTTTGTGCTGCCAGGTGGTATAGGTACATGTTCGGTAGCCCCAGTCCCCCTCTGTCCTTGGGTCGATACAGGAGTTTCCTGGCTATTCTGGGTCGTTTCTTTTGCCAAATGAACATGTCAATCGCTTTTTGGAGCGTGAATAGGTCGCTTCTCTTAACCGGTGTGGGCAGGGCCTGGAACATGAACAGCAATCTGGGCAGGATGTTCATTTTAACTGAGTGGAGTCTACCTAGCCATGAGATGGATTTGTCTGTCCACTGCTCCAGGTCCCTCAGGAGTGTGCGAATCAATGGGGAGTAGTTAGTCTAATGCAGGTGTTCGTGCTGCGCTGTGAGTTTAACCCCTAGATAGGGTATGTTGTCGGCAGTGGTGGGTAGGCGGTGTCTGTCAAATATTAGTGCTCTGTCTCGGGCCAGGAGGTGAAATGGTAGTGCCATGGATTTAGTAAGGTTCACCCTATAGCCTGACAGGGCTCCGTACGTGTCCAAGAGGCTCGTCAAGTGGTCCATGGAGGTCGGGGGTTCTGTGAGAGTCAGCAGCACGTCGTCTGCATACGCTGATACTTAGAAGGTTTTCCTTGCTACACTAATTCCCTGTATGTGTGGGTGGAGATTTTACATTTTTATGTGTTTTTTATGTATTGCGAGATTATGGAACTGTATTTGCCTTTTTTGGGGCTGACAGTAAGATATTTTTAATGGGGGTGGCTAGGGGATTGGGGCCATCTAGCATCCTTGGCAGCTTGGGTGGATAGGCAATGGCATGTTCATCCTTCATGGTATATTGTTATTAGAACCCATACCCACTGTGAATGGGGGCATATGGTGAACACCAGCTCCCACTCATTTTAAATAAATGCCAGCCCCCATCCACTGCTAATGGGTTATATAAAGGAAGATTCTACAGCTTTCAATGGCTACCAATGTATGACGTGCAGCGAGTCACTTCCAGTATGAACGAAAGTAAGGCATGAGAATCAGCTGAGGTATACACACCTCATAATTACCGGACTCTGATTGGATAAACCCCACAGAGAACCACCAATGAATGGCAATACCTTCATATTTAAAATGGAACAAGATCAAAAGCAGCATACACCGATTGAAAAAGCCCTTTTACAGGGTGAAACGCATCTCAGAAAGGATTCAGGACTTTGTTACAGAAAGACTTTTAACCATTACTTTTACTGTTTATTTTTAACCCTACTTATGCAGTAGTTTTTTATTAATAAATTTGTTTTAAGTCTACTCTGGGTCCCTCTACTTTGCTGCTTCAAAGAAGGGTGGTGTCCCCTTTAAAGACACCTAAGCTATTCCACGCAGAGCCAGGCTTAAAGGCTCTGAACAAGGTGAGCAATTATTTGCACTGCGATATTTCTATTCTGTATATTGTGACTTATTACACTAAAAGGCATCTCCTGCTTTGTCACCTTTTGTCTCATTTTGTTCTGAGGAATACCATTTGGAGTTAAATGGAAAGTGTCACCAGAAGACACTACTACCAAAGAGATCGGAGCCTGTCCTATGTGAGGCTCTACTCCATGTGAGTTGTCAATCTACAGTTCAATTAATTTCACTTATTTAATATAGTATTATGCTATGTGCTTTCCCCCACAGTTATTTTTTATATGCACCCTGATATCCATTGGATCTGAATACCATCCAAGTTGGGTAACAATTTCATTATATTCCCACTTAGGTTAGGTGGTCACATGTCCACTATTCTTACGCTCCACTTTTTGAGGTTAATAGCTCTTCTAGGCTCTTTGTTGTGTATGTTGTCTGGTGGGTAAGAGGGATTCCCACCAAAGTGTTGTAGCGTTAGTAACAGCGATATATACATTGTAGTTCTGAAGCACCTATTTTTCACAGAGAAATCGATATAAATATATACATAATTAGCCATGGAACTGCTGTTTGCTATTGTTTGGATGTTTTTAATGCTAGGTGCTAGAATTTAAAGTATATGGGTCCAGGTTTGAAGCAGTATTTGGTCTCGCTGAAATTCGGACTACATTTACTCTGGTTTGAGGGAAGATTTGAAAAATCTAAATATTGTTAAATAGTGTGAATATCATAATTTTGCAGTCTGAGTGGCCCATACACAGCTAGATAGTTTTGATACATTTGGTACAGGGCCATTAGGACTTTAGTGACTAACTTACACGATCTATGTGTTCGAAAATTTAGTCTGAGCGGCAGCAGTAAGTAAAAGCTAATGTATACGTAGCATAAATGAGGGCAATTGCATAAAGTAGGAGAAATTGATATTAATTGGGTGCATGTAGTTCCTTGACCCTCAGTACTGCCTATAGTCCATTGGAATATGGCTTCTTGATCTAAAAGGTTCACTCTAAGCACCATAATAGCTTTCCACAAAGATCCCGGCCGTGCTAACCAGAACAGCAGCTAAAATAATCTCAGAAGCTGTAAGTTTGCACCCATGATCAGTGAAATGAAATTAGCATTTTGCTACCTTGTTTGCTGTGTACACAACTTGGATGGACATCTTTTAAGTACATGACTTGCATGGACATCTTTTAACTCTGGAGACAGTTAGAGTCCCAATGCTTGTTTAATTTGCAGCTTGGGTTATCACTGCACAAGCCATACCCAGCTTCCAGCCAGTAAAATATATCTTTATCCTAGAACCTTATATTTTTATGGTATGTGTATAATTGTTGATGGCTTCTAGCTACATAAGGTAGAAGCCAACACTAAAATCATCTCATATTAAGGAGTAATTTTGGCACACAGCCCCTGTCCCTTTTTTCAGATAATGTAAAACACTGCCTTTTATGACACTTGACCTCATTGAACACCTTTTTTTCCAATGTCTTCATGGTTGGCATGATCACGCACAGTACGATTATACGGAATGCGATGGTGCATTCTTAACTCACTGCCAGCAGTGGGGCCCTAGTTATAGGTGGGTTATAGTAAGGGGATTGTCCTGATGGTCAATTTATTTGTTTTTCTTTCTTTTATATATATCTATCAATATATATATATATATATATATATATATATATATACTAATATATATATATATAAAAATAGATTTTCTCACCCCTCCTGGGTGGTATGTTTATTACTCATTCTCGGGTCCTCTACCTGAGGCCTGGGAGTTTGAGGATTCTGCGCTGTATTTTAGCTGTTCCTAGAACTGCACTCTTCTGGACAGCAATCTCATTTGTCCCACCTGGAATCTGTTGAAGCCACTCCCCCAACTTGGGAGTTACAGTCCCGAGTGCGCCTATCACAACTGGGACTACTACTGCCTTCACTTTTCCTATCCTTTCCAATTCTTTCAGTCCTTGGTATTTGTCCACTTTCTCATGTTCCTTCTTCCTGATGTTATAATCACTGGGTATTGCCACATCCACCACGACTGCAGTCTTTCGTTCCTTATTTACCACCACGATGTCTGGTTGGTGGGCCAGCACTTGCATGTCTGTCTGGATCTTTAAGTCCCACAGGATCTTAGCCCTGTCATTCTCAACTACCCTTTGTGGTATCTCCCATCTGGACTTAGACAGGTCCAATCCATATTTTCCGCAGATGTTTCTCTACACAATCCCAGCAACTTGCTGTATGCTGTTCCTGCTAA